ATGAGCCCCTAATAAAATGATTAAAATAATGTTTTTAACAAAGTGGGGAGTTGATGCCAAGGGCTCAGGTGGACGGCAGGTGTTCTGAGGATGATGATGGCAGCAGATGTATGGGTGTGTATGGCACAGTGGATGGATGTGTGGATTGTGATGAGAGTTGTACGAGCCCCCAATAAAATTATTTTTAAAAAGTTTTTAAAACAACTACATTCTGGCCCATACCTTGAGATTGAGGAGGATCTGGATCTCTGGACATGGATGTGGAGCGGAGGTACGGCAAGAGAGTCACTGTTTGGAAGGGGAATCCCCCTTCCAGAAAATCAACTGGTAGCTGCTTTTCAGTATTTTTCCCCCTTCTTTGCCTTTTTCACGAGGACCTGGAAGGCTTTCTTTAACTCCCACCCCTACCCCCCTGTCTAATGTGTTCTGTTGTTGGCATTTACTTAACTGTTTTCTAAAAGGGTTTACTAAACTATCAACTATATCAATAAAATGGTTAACCAGTTCAATATTATGATTCTTTTCAATAAACTTTCTTTGGATGCATGTTTTTTTCATCTACAAACAGTACAAAAAGCCACAAAAACTAATAAAATTATAGCAAAACACTTGGAACACAGCTGCAATACTAACAACGCCGACTAACACTGAGTGACCGAAACACAAACTGCTTTTGTTTACAAAAACCACGTGTATTGGGTTGGATTCTGATGTTTTGGTCCAGCTCCAGTGGAAAATTTTCTTGACATTTCCCGTTGAAATCCGATTATGTCAAGTACTGATGCTGTCGAGAACCAGGGTTCTACTCTACTTAATACAAACTCTCCATCACCCCTCTACTCCACCAACTAACAGTTAACCATGTCCACATAACACTACCTAACACCCTAATAGTGACTCGAAGATGTCAAGGAAACAACAGAAGATATTGGTGCACACACAAAAAACAAGGGAAACAAACAACCGAATACCAACCAGACCTAAATGTAGTCCCTGAAATCGAATAGGCTGTGGATTTGCCAGAAATAGTATTTAAAAGGATGATTGCACTTGTGCAATAGAAAAACCAGTAACCTCGCTTGTGTTAGACAGGGTTCTCTAGACAACCCGATTGCTGATAAATTTATATATTTATTTATAAAGATAATTAGATACATAATGCAAGAAATGAACAGTTAAATTATAAAGCAGTACAAATGGCTCAGTGCAACTCATTCCCATGAGAGAGAGAGTTGTGAGACACTGGCAGTCCTTCAAGTCTTGAGGGCCACCAGGTCGTCCTCTGTAGAGAGAGCTAGGCTATCTCAGCACAGCAGCAAACAGCAAGGCAGGTCACCCACTGTCAGCTAGGTCACCAACCGTCAGTCACCAGCTCCAGAGATGTACATTCCAATAGTGTGGTCTTAAAGACACCTCAACTTACAGTGACACAGTCCATAGGCTAGGCGTCCCACAGGTAGTGTAGCCTGTAAATTGAGGCACAGAACAAGCAAGGCAGCCGCACACTGGTCTGATGATCAAAGAGTGAAAAGACAAGAAAGGCGAGGCTCACCAAGCCATTTATCTCTCTGCCCTTCAATTAATACCACTTGTATTTATCAGCCAAGCTGGCACAATAAACTATCTCATCGCTAGAGAAGCTCCAAACAGAAACATAAATATCAAACCCTACAATAGCTGAATTTAACTCCTAGAGCACAGAGAAACAGAATTGAAGAGATGAAAATCCAAATTAGTGAGCTAGAAGACAAATCTAGATTCCAACCCAAAAGAACAAATAACAAAAAGTGCAAAATAGACAGAGAAAAGCTTGAGAACAGAACAATGTGGGACACAATCAAGAAGCCAACCTGTGTCTTAGAGGGAGTTTCAAAAGAGAAAGAAGTAAAAAAGTCCAGAGAATAGTCCAAGAGCTCCTTCAAGAGAACATCCAATGTCTAAAGAAGGAGATGATAATTACTCAAGAAGCCGAGAGACCCCCAGCCAGGAGAGATCCCAAAGGAAAACTCCCCAGCATATTGTAGTCAAGATGTCTGACATCAACGACATGGAAAAAATTCTAAGAGCAGCCAGAGGAAAAATGATCAATTACACACAAAGGGTGAGCAATTAGAATAACTTCAGATTTCTCAGCAGAAACCATGCAGGCAAGAAGACAATGGAGTGATGCATATAGAGTACTGGAGGGAAAAAATTGTCAATCTAGAATCCTCTATCCAGCAAAATTATCAATCAAATATAATGGAGAAAATATTCCAAGACAAGGAGAAATGAAAATAATTCACAAAAACAAGACCACTACTATTAAAAAAAAAAAAAAAATCAATGAAGTACCATGGCCTAAAACCCAACAGCAACAACACACAAACCTGATGAAACCAATATACAAGACAATTCCTCACAAAAACCAACATACAGCAACTCCCAAAGCAAGGAAATAACACAGGACAAAGAAACTAAACACATACGCATACAAATACACAACACATGTATATAAAGAAAAATGACAGTAACAAATACATACACATCAATAGTCTCACTGAATGTTAATGGACTAAATGCACCAGTAAGAAACAAGAGTAGAATGGATAAGAAAACAAAATCCATCAATATGCTGTCGACAAGAAACACACCTCATAAACAAAGACCTGAACAGATTAAAATCAAAGGCTGGACAAAAGCAGACCAAATAAACAGCAACCAAAAGAAAGCAGGGGTAGCAATATTAATCTCCAAGAAGATAGATGTCAAGGCAACAGCACGATGATAAAGGGAACAATAGCTCAGAGACCCATAACGGTAATAAACATAGATACAACCAAGGAAAGACCCTTGAAATACGTCAATCAAATCCTCACAGAACTGAAAAAGGATAGAGACACCTCAACAAGAGTAACAGGAGACTTTAATATATCACTCTCAAGGAAAGACAGAATGTCAAGAAAAAAACCCAACGAAGACACAAAATAGCTCAATAACACTATCAACCAAAACGGCCTTTCAGCCATATACCGAAAGCTCCATCCAACCAGACAGCTGCATGCGTTCTTCTCCGACCCACACGGAATATTCTCAAGAACAGACGTATACATACTAGGCCACAAATGATGCTTCAGCAAATGCAAAAAAGTTGAGATCCTATAATCCATCTTCTCAGATCACAAAGCTATAAAATTGGAAATCAAGAGTTATAGTCTTGGGACCCACAGAGGCCATTATACTCTGTCCTATAGGGTCTCTCTGAGTTGAAATCGGCTTGATTAATGGCAGTGAGTTTTGCTTATTTTACATATGACCAATCAAGGGAACCAACCTCTAACACTGGTAGAGTCTAGGGGAAATGTGCAAATGGAGGTTCAAATATGATGTCAAAATATTTATATGTTATACATCAAGATAAACTTAAATGGAATATGTTGTTTTGTTCTGACAGATAGGCAGGGGCCTCCGGCAGTTTGTGGAAACATCACACATAGGAACGTATACCTTTGGAGTGACCTGGAAGGCTAGATTGAACAGAGAACGTGTCAGCTCCCCAGAGTGGGTTTCACATCCCGAAGTGGTAGCAATGGGAGAAGAGACCTCACTCTTCTTGCCCTGCCCTTCCCATGGGCATGTATACCTCAGCCCACAGAGCCAAACCCTGCCTATCTGCTGTAGCCTATTACTTCTTGGCCACCTTTGGGCCTTATAGACATGCCTGCCCACTGGCCCAGGAAAAGCAGTAAGATAAGCATGCTCAAAGGTAGGCCTGGACTTCAAGGTTGCCACAGCATGGTTTTGGACAAAGGAGGCGCATGGGTTCCAGCTACACATAGTGTTCTGGGTTCTGGACTTCACGGCTGAGGAGGAGGGGTATGGTGGGAGGAGGCCCGGGGCAGGGGTCTCTCTTGCCTCTGACTACAGGCTAGGCTGCCTTACAGAGCCAGGTTGTCCCTTCCTAGCAAGGCTCAGGGCAGAGCATAGCTACTCGGGCCAAGCCATTCTGCCCCCCTGCAGAGATTATGCTAGTGCAGATGGCCTGGAGGGAATCTTTTTGAAGGCATTTTAGGTTTGGAGGCTATACCACCCACTGAAGGTTCATGCTCTATCAGTTCTCCTTCCTGGGAGGAGTTGCCTTGCTCTGGCGTTCTTAGAGTCTGGGTCATCCCCACCCAAAGCCACAGTGTTGCAAACTTTAAATAGCCTTTGGTGTGGAATGTAGCCAGGTGTTTATGAAAAGTTTAAACAGCTTATATGTGCACAGGCTTTCCCTACTATCGGAAAGGAGTACGTGCCTAGGAAACCTTTTATAAGCCACAGTGGCACAAAGCAAAGATGGACTTACCATGAATTTATATCGGAAAAATGTTAAAGGGTTTTCTAGACCCCCACCACCACACACACAAAGACCCTACCAAATAGGATCACAGTAGCACGTGGTGCTCACAGGTTCATTGTCAAGTGCAGTTCCTGGGGGTGGGGGGTGGGGCTGGGCACTGCCACTCTCCCTGCTCTGGGTGCGCTGCCTCTTCACATGCTACAAACCAAACACGGAATGCCAGGTTCACTGCGTGCCCTTTATAATGAAAGCAAAAACCCATTGGTTTTCCTTGGGTTGAGAAGATAAGTACTACAGTAGGACTTCTGTCAAGGGCGAATGTCATGAAGTGGGGGCTATCACCATGGGGGAAGGGAGACAGTGGCTGGTGTTAAGACACGAAAATAATAATTTATAATGGGGTCACAAGGGTGGGAGGGGGAAGGGAGGGAAAAAAAAAAAAAGGAGCTCATACCAGGGACTCAAATAGAAAGTAAATGTTTAGAAAATAATGTGGCAACATATGTACAAATATGCTTGATACAATTGACGTATGGATTGTTATGAGCTGTAAGAACCCCAATAAAATAATCTATTAAAAAAAAGTTTTTTTAAGTGGGGGATACCAAGTGTACAATAAAATGGAGGAAATGCTAACACAAAATATTCAAATAATCAAACAAATGATTTCTTACTGTACCTCTATTTCCATTGGTGAATACAAATAATTAAAGAAAATGGGACTCTTCTTATGCATTCTATCAATACACTCCCATATACAAATGCCCTTTTTGGCATGCTTGTCTCCTTTATCATCAAATAAGGTTCCTGTAAAACAAAATCCCAAAAATGTAATTAAAAAAATGTCCAATATATCAGCCTAATATGATATACATAAACCAAACCAAACCCATCACCACTGAGTGGATTCTGACTCACAGCAACCCTACAGGACGCAGTAGAACTGCCCCTCTGGAATCCTGAAACAATCTTTATGGGAGCCTTATCTTTCTCCTTCAGAGTAATTGGTGAGTTTGAACTGCTGACCTTTCCACTAGCAGCCCACAGCGCCACTAGAGTTTCTTTATGAGATAGGCGACAGATGACAAAGTGGGCTGTTTCTGATGGCTCTAGACACTTTAGAAGAGAAGGGAAAATCGGACAACAGCAACGAAGAAACCGACCATAGCAAAGTGCAGCCAAACACGAGGGGAGCATCTGATGAGTCTGTAAGTGGTTAGCGGTCGACGTCCTCCGTGTGTGACGTGTCTAGACTCACAGGGGACTATGCCAGGAGACAGTCCACACATAAATGGGAGGGCTTAAGAGTTGATTTGAAGAAACAGTCAAAATCAGTGCTTAGAACCTTTCCATTCAACTTCCGGGTGAGATTTTGCTACCCCACCCCGACCCCAATTGTACTGACTCCAAACCTGCAGAACCTGCATCTACCATGGGCAGCTAGGGTGGAGGCAAACTCTCAGGAGGGGGTTGAACTATGTTGGCCTGGCTAAAAAAACACACACACATGTAATTTTATGTTTCTTTTTAAAGTTGCTGGTTGTTTATTATGTTGCCATTTAGAGTGTCTTTTTGTTTAGTCCTTTATATATACTGCAAATCATGGGCACAGGCACGCTGGCTGACAGAGGGTGTGGCCTGTAACCGAGGTGACTCAAGAGTAGTCTTTAGGGAGGTACTTCAGGGATTTGCAGATGCTCCTGTTGGACCTTTCCAACAGCTGATTGCTCACAGGCACCCACTTTGTTTTTAACAGGGAGGGACACGTGTCTGGTGAGGCAGGTGGCATTTCTTCAAAAGGTGGCGCTGTCTTGCTTTCAGGGGAGGGACTCGGCCAGCAGTGACTGGGGGTTCTCTACCCCACCAGAGAGGAATACGGAAAGCTCAACGTTGCAACCACCTGTCACGCGAGGCTACAAAGGTTTTCTCCACCTTCTAATCCCAGCATCTAGTGCTGTGGCTGTGTACTGGAAAAATCTAGGACTTCAAAAAACTCCTGGGGCCCAGGTCTCACCTCAGAGCAATGCAAGCAGAGCCTCTGGGGATGGCCAGAGAGCCGTAATTGTCAGTTTCTCAAGTGATTACAGTGTACACAAAGTTAAGGCTGATCACAGGGTTGTGATGGATTTCTAATGCCACCCATTTATCTCCTCACTGGGGCCTCCAAGAGCAGATTAGCGTGTGGACATCAGTTACATCTTGGGCACTTTTCGCAGAAAGCTGCGAGTGTTAGGGTTCCAGGCCCGCCTTAGGGCAGGCCTCTCTCTCTCCGCAAAAGAAACATCTGGGATTTTTCATACAATATTCACGTGGTTGCTCCTAAAACCGCACCCCAAACTCTCTGCCACCGAGCTGATTGACTCACAGTGACCCTATAGAACAGAGGAGGGCTGTGGGTGTGGGTTTCCAGGACTAACTTTATGAGAGCAGAACGCCTCTTCCTTTTTCCTTGGGGGCTGGTGGCTTCAAACTGCTGACCTTGTGGTTAGCAGCCCAACTCATACCCACTGTGCCACCAGGGCGCCTTGAAAAACACGCTGAAATAATTAAATAATTAGGTGTGATATTACGTTTTATGTCAACTTGGGGTCAGGATTCTCCGTGGTTTGGCAGTTAAGATCCAGTAATCCCCCAAGGTGTCGCTGAACACAATGTAATCACTTCCAAAGAGGGTCTGCTATGAGTAGTCAATCAACTGAAATAAGATTAGAATGGAATGCAACACTCTTATTCAGATACAGCTCGGATGTGATCAATTGAAGGGAAGTTTCTTGGGGGTTATGGTTACTTCCAATAAAAGTGGGCCCTGTGGGCGCATGGTTGCTGGGTCTGGATCTTGCATGTGGCTCATCAACTTCCAGTTCTCTAGACTTCCACCAAAGCTCTGCAAATCCTAGGAGGATCAGTGACCTGTCATCTGACCTGCCAACCTTTATTCACCTCTGCAGTCACAAGCCTACTGACTGCCTATGATGGACCTTGGATTCACTTGTCTTTGCAGCCACCAAACTATTGACTTCCTGCTATCTTGATTCAGCAGCCCCCCAGCTACCTGAGTCAGAAGCCTCCAACCTGCCATCTGACCCACAGACTCGAAACCTGTCTGAACTCTGACTTGCTGCTTCTACACCGGTGGAGCCATTTTATTGATATAAAGTTCTCTATATCTATACATGTACAGTGAACCCTCGCCACTTTGCGCTTCGACTTCCGCGGCTTCACTCTATCGCGGTTTTTGCGTAACAGCGCATGCTCTGTCATTACTGCCACTGATTGGCTCATACTGTACATGCTTGATGCCATAAATAATATAATAAATAATAAATGATAATTGTAACGTCCAAAATGTTTTACTGTATTTTCCCTTTTTCGTTTAATAAATGGGTAATATGAGTGTAATGGTGACTAAAGGGTGTTTTTTCATGTCCTCTATGCTCTAACTACGAAAATATTTGATTTACAAATAAGGAATCCTACTTCGCGGAATTTCATTTATCACGGTAGGGTCTAGAACCGATTAACCGCGATAAATGAGGGTTCACTGTATAACACATCACTATTTTGCTTCTCTAGAGACCCCAGCCCAAAACACTAGTTCCATCAGATCACAACTCTACAATTCAGTATGTCACAACCTTCAAGACGTAATACTAATCTTCCAGAACACATGGGAGTTGTTCTTAGGTTTTTCCAATCAAACCTTTTATGACTGTGACTGGCAAATTCCACCAGGAGTGATCCAAGATCCTTACTTTCCAAGCTTTGTTCTTAGGCAGAGGGTAATGATCACAGCTGTTTCTAAGTGAGGTCTGACTGGTGTCCTACTGTGTGGACCTGGGAGCTAGTGCAGCTTCCCCAAGACTTCAAACTAGTTGATTCTGATTTGACCCTAGCTGAAAATTGGCATGTCAACCTCAGATATACTACATCAGAATCTGCATTTTAGCAAGCGCCCCAGGTATACGTAAGAATCACTTGATCTTGTTAAAATGCAATTCTGATTTAGTATATCTGGGGTGGAAAGGTTAAGTTCCCCGCAAGGGGTCAAACACAAATAAACTGGTTCAAAGCCCTGCGTGGCACAGTGGATAATCACCTGGAGAGTTTAAAGCTCCTGCTGCCTAGGACCCACCCCAGAGATTCTGATTAACTGGTCAGGTGATGTTATTCGGACCTGGGAGGTTTAAAAGCTTCCCAGGTGACTGCAATGTTTAGTCCCTGCTTTGGACCATGGCCCTAGAGTCTAGACATTGTTGCTTTCATAATGAAGATAGCCACCACATGCTGCAGTGGAAGCCTCACATCTGCATGCTGGTAAAATAATCTGCTTATTACCTTAATGCAGGAAAAGAAACTGCTCTATTAAACTAACAATGACAACAACAACAACAACAAAACACGGCTCGGGAAAGCAAACACTTCGGTCAGGCCAATACTGTTTGCCTGTGCTATTCCTTCCTGTGGAAAAGCTGAGTGACAAAAACAAATGAGGCAAGACACCCCCAGCCCCACCGCCCTGCAAACCAAACAAACCGAACCAAACCCTCGCTGCCATTCTGATGCAGTGACCCTCCAGGACGGGGTAGAACTGCCACTGTGGGGTCTGAGACTAACTAACTATGGGAGTAGAAAGCCTCCTCTTTCTCCCTTGGGGCAGTTGGTGGTTGTGTTAGTCTGGGTACTTAGAGAAACAAATCCACAGAAACTCATGTATGAGTTTTATATAAAGGGTAAGTGCACATCAAGAAAACATTCCAACTCAGTGCTGCCCAAGCCCACAAGTCCAACATTAACCCATTAACCCATATGTCCAACACCAATCCACAAAGCCTGCCTCCATCTCACAAAATAGATGCAATGATGCTGACTGCAGGAGGAAAGCCAAGTCAGTGAGCGTGTAAGTGTCTCAGCGCTGGCAGGGGTCTCCACACGGCTGCTCCAGCACCCAAGGCTGCATCGAGGCAGGTCCTTGTGACTTCTCCTCAGGGACGTCCTGCAGGAAGTGAGCTCTGCAAACTAAAGCAGGGAACTGGCCAAGGCAGCTGCACCCTGGTCCGGTCATTAGAAAGCAAGAGACCAGAGAACTCCAAAGGCGAGGCTCACTGAGCCATTTATCCCTCCGCCCTTCAATTAATCCCACATGTGTTTATCGGCCAGGTTGGCACAATAAACTAACTGAGTAGTTTTGAATTGCTGACCTTGAGATTAGCAGCCCAACTCTACACAAGACCAGCCCTTGCTTAATGCCTTTCCAATACATGGGTGCTTAGGAAATGAAGAGTTGATTCTGGCTTGTGGAGCAGAGCTTCCCTGAGTGTAACAGAGGGCTGGGAGGACAAACCAGAGGGGAAGTGGTCTCACCAGTGCTACTTCCCTGACTTTTTACACAACTCCAGTTGTCTTTCTAGACAACTGCCACAGCATTCCCTGGGAAGCAGTATTTCCTTAACTCAGATTTTAAACAGAACATCAGTCAATGCTTTCTTGCCACTAAGAGAGCCCTCTTTAAACACTGAGGTACATACAATGTCCCCGTTTGTATGTTTCCTTGATTTAACAAGGAGCCTTTGGGGCAGAGTGGGTTACGAATTGGGTCCTTAACTATAAGGTCAGTAATTTGAAACCACCAGCAGCTCCCAGGGAGAGAGATGAGGCTTTCTGCTCCAGTGGGGATTTATTGCCTAGGAAATTCATTAAAAGCAGTCCAACACTGTCCTAGAGGGCTGCCATGAGTTAGATCAACTCCATGACAGTGCATTTGTTTTTGTTTTGTCTTAATGCAAATAGTTATGTGTATCTTTGCCTCAATTTGCCTGCCCCTGCCAAAAAACCCAAAAAACCCAGAAAAACAGCCCCCAAACAAAAAACCAACAACGAAATTGTAAGTCTCCTTGGGGAACGTTTTCCCAGGGACAGCCTGACTTTAAGAATCGACCCTTTAAAATTACTAGTGCTGTTAAAATTTATAATGATGATGTCTAAAACTTATTCCATACTTACTCTGTGCTACCGACCGAGCTAAGACATTTACAAATATTCCCCTGATGCGACCATCGTGCCCTGGGAGGTGGGTGCAGCGGCTGCCCTCACTTTACAGTCCAAGACGAAGTATTCGGCAGTGACTGGAAGTGCTGGGATTTACCTTGGCAGCGTGAGCTATGTGCTATGCACAGGCCTCCGAGGGCCAATACCCTTCCTATCAGAGGGCACCTGTTTGAACAGGGACACCACTTTGGAATATTAAAATGGCTAAACAGCTTTAATTTTGTGGAAGGAGGGCAGAAATGACCACGTGGCTCCCCTTGGAGCTAACACAACGTACAGTCTCAGAATCTGGGCACCCCTTCACAACTACCCTACAATCATAGTTTGGGACAAAACTGTGAAATGTCCTTGGTGCACTGAGTAGGGGCAGGAGGGGGTAGTTGTCATATTAAACTTTTCATTAAAAACACACAAACCTGACCAAGAGGAAGCAAAGGTGCAGAAACAAACACGTACCATGCTCTAATCTTTCATAGTCGGAATCCAGGAGAAATGTTTTAAAGCGATTAGACACATAGTGGAAAGCCAAGAACTTTAAATAATATAGATTGAATTCAAACTCGGTTGGATACTGGTTGTGAACCTGAAAAACACACAAAGCAAAAAATAAAGTGAGAACAGACCAAACCGAAGGTGGGGTGCCAGGACACTGAACGCTGACCTGAAATTGGTGGACCGTTTGGCCATTCAGTCAAGTTTGAATCCCCGCCAGAAGTGAGGGGGGGAACCAGGCATCTCGAACACTTGCTGTAAGTTGTGTTCTCCTTGTTGGTTGTGTGCTGTCCAGTTGATTCTAACTCACAGCACTGTTTCGGAAAGAGGACAACAGCCCTCTCGGGTGTGCTGGGCAGAAATCCTTATGGGAGCAGGTCTTTTCTCCTGTAGAGCCACGGGGGATTTGACCCAGGGACCTGGACGACTTACCCGTTGCACCCAGGACTCCTTGCCACACAAGCGTAAATAAACATCTTGTTTAATGTCCACAACAACACAGGTATCAATGTGTGAAAAACTATGGATTTGATGTCATCTTAGACATCTCAAAATGTTGGTATTTCCTAGGATTTGAGTCATAGTTACTAGTTAGAAGAGACTCCGAAATGGGGTTAGAAAAACATCACTTTATAGGATTTTATTTTTTGCAAACTCTGATTTAACAATAATTGTGTACTTCTCACGGGCTCTGTATGGTGCTAATCACTTTACATAAAGTTCTAAAATACTTATGTGCTATAAATATGAAGAGACTGCAGCACAGGGCACGTTCTGACCGAGTTCTCTGGAAGGACAAAACCAGTGATATAGTACGTGTGTGTCTGGGAACCCGCTGCCACCAAATATATGTAAGGTTTCCAAGACTATAAATCTTTACACGAGCAGACAGTTCATCCTTCCCTTGTGAGCCAGCTGCTGGGTTTGAACTGCTGACTTTATGGTGTGGATAATAGTCCAACACCATATAAGGAAATGGCTCACTGCAGTTATGGAGGCTGGGAACTCACAAAGCCATCGGTGAGGCATCCGACTAGAGACTTTTCTGGCTCATGTGGTTGTAGGGACTGAGGAGCCCAAAGTTGGCAAGTCAGATGGCAGGCTTCTGGCTGAAGGGCGATGGAAGCCGGTGAATCCCCAAATCTGCATGTCAGACAGCAGGCTGCTGGCTCACGTCCCAGGTACCGGAGGTCAGAGAATGACGAGTCAGAAGCAGGACTGAGAGAGGGTGAACGCTGCCAGAGCAACCATTTATTTGGATGCAGGCCACACCTCCAAGGAGACTCCCTTTTAACTGGTCGGGTACTCACTTCGGATCACAAAAAAATGGAGGGTGATGACATAAGACCTGCCAAACCACAGAAAATCACGGCCAGGCCACGTTGACACATAACCTTAACCATCAGAGTGGCTAAATAATTTGTCTAAGATCATAAAGTTGGTGGGGGATTGATACGTAAACTCAGAGTTTTAAAGGTTCAAATGTTAAAAGCCTTAAATGTGAAACTGTTTTGTCATAAACCAGCATAGGTTTAGTCAAGTTCTGCCAGTTTTCAGCTACAAACACCAGAACCTCCGAGTCAGACCACAAACCCATTAGCTGCAACTATTCTGCCAATACCAGTGGTTACATTTCAGAATAACAAACCTAGAAAAGGGGTGTGAGTGTGTGTGTGTGTATGTGTGTGTGTGTGTTGGGGGTAGTGGGGCGGGGGCGGCAGCAGCTTGGCGACTCATGCAAGTGCTCACAAACAAGGCTCCTATCTCCAAAAAGCAAACAGCAGTTCGTTTTGGAATTGGACCTCGAAGAGTGTTGGCCTATGGTAACTGGGAGGAGAATCAAACCACAAAGCCAGAGCGGGGTGAGGCCATTCACACTCTGAATCAGCCTGGAAGGCAGGGAATGAGAGCTGTCATTCGTTTTCCTCGGTGAAGGAAATAATGACAAAGTTTTGAGATGCTCTCAAAGATTTACTGTAAGGTTGAAACAAAGGGAATGCTTTCTCATACTTTGTTTTCATTGGTATTATCCAATTTTTTCCCTTGATATACATACTCGAAAAATTAAATTTTAGGTAGAAATTTCACCTTTGTATTTTGGATGAGTTTTCCTGTTGAATTTGACTCAACTATTTTAAGAAAAGGAAGCATCCTGTAATGATATCATTTGAGCTATGCCAAGTTTCTTTAGAAGCAACAAAAAATCTGCCAGATGTTGCTATTATGAAACAGTGATTTAGCATTTATAATTCATCTGACACCTGGATAAACTGGCGTAAACAATGGCTTTTTATATGATGAGGCAGTTCTAATTTAAGATCAGTGCTTCATCTGTTTTCTTTGTATCTTTATTAATACTAATGGACAAGTCTAGGCAGAGTTCCAAGGACTGCCTTTGGCATTCAGCATGTTAGAAATGGTTAATAAGCAGGGAACACAGTACACCCAGGGAAGTTCTGCCTTCTGCTGTGTAATTTTGACCTCAGATTTCTAATGTTCTTGGGCCTGAGAGACTGAAGGGAGCACTAATTCGAATTGTCTGGTCAAAGCCAGAGTCATGTAAAGCACTAGTGTTCACTTGAAAGGCATTCAAAGAAGGCATTTTCTAATGCCTAAAACCAGTATGTAGGAGATGATGAAACACTACCTTATAATTAAATCAGCAAGAGTCAGAAGCACTATTTGTTAACTAGTCTTTTCAGACTCCAGTTTTTGAATGAATAAACAATCCCTTTTCAGCACAAAATAATTTGCTTCACCAAAGCTGATACCTATCGTAAGCTAAGCATCCTTTAAATGCTGCAATTAAGGTCATGTGCTCGCTTTGCCTTGGCTTGTCTGAGCTGAAGTTGTTAGGTATGAGGTCTAAGGAAATGGAACCGGCCGTCTGACTTTCTCTGACTACAGGAGGTGGGAGGAGAACTATCTGCACACCCGCCTGAGGCCCCCTGTCAGAAGGCAGAGGTCAGACAGGCATACCTCTGCCAGCTGACTTCCTTCCCCTATGCTGATCCCAACCGCTCCTCCCACAGTGCTGCTTCTCTGCTGGGTTGGAGAATCCACTGCAATGGCCTCAGAGAACTCACGGTCAATGCTCACAAATATGGGAGTTTAATGGGGAAGGCAACAGGGTAACCCAAGTCAGGATCAGAAAACACTAAGAATATACTCTTATTCTTATACATAGTAGGGCCTCTTCTCAGGCATGCCAGCAGCCACGTCTTTCTGGCTCAGCCTCTCAGCCCCATGACCCCTTAGCCTTGGCTTTAGGGGCTGCTCTATCGCACGTCTCCCCTGTTCTCGCAGAATCTTGGCACAGCTCCTTTGCTCTGTGGTCTCTGGTGCCTTGGTGCCTCCACCACTTCTGGCAGGGCCTTGCACATGCTCTGCTGGAGGCTCTCTTTTCTTGATGGCCATGGGATTTCCAGTGAATGTCCTTTAAGTGGTGTGAACAAAGCTACGGAGATGGCTCCCTCTTAGACCCACTAGGTTGGCAACACTGACCAGTCCCTGAGTTGGTCATCCACACCGTATTTGCAATAGTGGGTTGGGGCCATAAAGACTCTGGCTAGAAGAACCATACCAAGCAACTTCCCTTCATGGGGTTTTCTACTCCTGTAAAGAGTCACCGTCTCAGAAATCAACAGGGGCAGTTCTACTCTGTCCTACTGGGTCTCTAGGAGTCAGAATCCACTTGATGGCAGTGAGTTGTTTTTTTTAAAGTCAAAAGCGGATTCAGGAAAGTTTAATGAAATTACCTTTTAATTAAGAAATGCTGCCTGGAGTGGAGACCCAAAGCCCATCTGTAGGCAACTGGACACCCCCTTACTGAAGGGTTGAGGGGAGGAGAGCAGACAGTCAGGGTGCAGGATAGCAACGATTAAACATACAACTTTCCTCTAGTTCCTAAATGCTTCTTCCCCCTCCCCCCACTATCATGGTCCCAATTCTCTCTTACAAATCCAGCTAGACCAGAGGATGTACACTGGTACAGATAGGAACTGGAAACACAGGGAATCCAGGACAGATGATCCATTCAGGACCAGTGGTGAGTGGTGATACCGGGAGGGTAGAGGAAAGGTTGGGTAGAAAGGGGGAACCGATTACAAGGATCTACATGTGACCTCCTCCCTGGCAGACGGACAACAGAAAAGTGGGTGAAGGAAGACATCGGCCAGTAAGGTATGACAAAATAATAATTTATAAATTATCAAGGGTTCATGAGGGAGGGGCACGGGGAGGGAGCGGTAAAAATGAGGAGCTGATATTAAGGGCTCAAGTAGAAACCAAACGTTTTGAGAATGATGATGGCAACAAATGTGCAAATGTGCTTGACATAATGGATGTATGTATGGATTGTGATAAGAATTGTATGAGTCCCCAATAAAATGATTTTTAAAAACGAAGAAGAAATGCTGCATGTGGTATAGGTACATTTGAAGCCAGTGTAAAGAAATGCCTAGAACTCACACAATATTACGCTCTACAATTTGGGAAGCATTCATCTATAAATAATTGAGCCTTCATTAAATGTCGATTTGTTTTTGAATTTCAGAACTGGTTTGTACAGAACATTTGAATTTTAACTCCTTTAAAATAAAGAAAAGTTGCCCCAGACCACAAGGTGTTCCTATAACTTAGCATTATGTAGTCTAAGCATCTACTGTAATATGCCTTTATGGCGACAGGAAGGCAATTGTCCCTCACTTTATTTCTGGTTGCTTTGTTCACACCACTTAAGGGGCACTCACAGAATACAGGTCGTCTTTCAACATTTTAGACATCACTCCTCCCCCCTCCCCCAAATAAAATATAAGCATTATATTCCAAATGATGATTACTGTACTTGGGACACAGTGATGTTTCCATCTGTGATGACAGTATGTCTTATATAAGAACATCCCATCTGGTTCTGATTGTGACTGAATTCTTTGGCTGACTCTAATGTTTAGGTATGCAGAATTCTGTGAGTTGAACATAGAGATTTAAGACATTTAGTAGTGCTTTAAACTCAAGCCAGATTCAGCTGCACAAGCTTGGCTCCCACAAACCTCTCCATGCTACAGAGTATATTTCCTCTCTGTCCTAGAA